TCGGTCTTTCGATTAATGACCCGCCGTATGAGTTCTATTGAAACGCTTTCACGGACTCAAAATTCGCAGAATTTAGGAACGGTATCCTACTCTTGGGAATTTATTGATTACGCTGACTTCAATAAAAACCACCCATCGACTCCGCCGATTACTTTTCTTAAAAATCAAACCTATATGGAAATTAAAATATTAATGACCCAACGCGAGTTACTTCAAATACTTAATTTTATGAAAATAATACAATTCATTTTTCACAGAAATAAAAAAAAATGTAATTTATAATGGGGTAAAAATTAGATAAGTCAATTTCGTATCAAGTTAGTTAAATTAATTTTTAAATATGCTTAAATATTGACGCTAAAAAATTATGGCCAGATATATAGATCGTAGGATGCAGATATCATTTGACCCAAAGCTGGTACAGATACATTCAAAGTCATCGTAAAAAAAATCTTATAAATAATATTTTAATTATATATTCATATTCATGACGATGGCCATCGAATTTTTGATTGTTAAATTCATATTAATGATTAAATAAATAGAATAAATTAATAACTAATATTATACACATTTTGTAAACGTTTCATCGCCTTTGTGAATAGTATTTTTAAATACATATGTTAATTTATACTTTATTTCACTAGGTTTGTCTAAAGAATATCAAGATAAATTACGCGAAATTAATAAGTGGTTAAAATGGGTATTTGGTTTACCATAACTGAATCCGAATGAAGTCTTATGTCAGTTTTGTCTTTCTAATGAAGAAAGAATATTAAAGTTCTGCGATTATTTAGTTAAAAATTGAATCAATTTTGAAGCAAAATTGAATTCTCATTTATGGATTTCACGAATAGTTACACCAGAGCGCACCACCTATAGTTATGAATCATTTCACTGTAAATTAAATCCTAAATTCACAAAATCTCATTCCAATATATTCATATTTACTCACGTTTTAATTATGAAAATACAAATCAATTTTTATAAACTTATTAACGAAATAAATGTTTTAAAAATTAGTAAAAATAGAGCTTTTTAAGATCAAAAAAAAAAATTGTTGAACATTTATCAATATAACTAAATAATAAAAACATTTTTATATTTACATAGTATATATATATATTAATATATTATATATTATACATTAATTTAAAATACTATGTATTCAGTAATTTAGTAATTCGTCTTGGAATAGATAATATTATAGAATATAGGCGTGCGAAGATTTGTATTTCAGAGGGTGCCTACAATACTTTTGGGCTTTATCTTAACAAAACGTGTAGGTATATTTAACAAATTAAAATAAATAAATAAATAATTAAATAAATATCACTTTATTTGCTGTAAATTGTGATATATTAGTATCAATTAATATGCTTTCCTTGATCTCCAATAGTATTCTCATATAGGTCATAATAAGCTTTTGCACGGAAATTTAGAAAATGTAATTAATTTTTTTCTATTACGAAACATCATTTATTTTTATCTATTACTCTTTTACATATTTTAAAATAAATTACATTTAATTTGAGCAATATCAGTTAAAACACAGGCCACTTACCCTTGATAGCTTATAACTTATATAACTCTTATAACTTAAATTGTAGGGCCGCATTTACAATATTTTGGGGGATGCCCGGGCGCAAACGGCACGTGCGTATGTCATAAAACGATATGTAGTGGTGCTCTCATTTCACGTGTCACGTGAAATACGTGTTCATACAGAATAAAAACGTATACATTATCTTAATTTTGTACAAATAATATTATATTAAAACTACATGTAATTAAACACAAAATAACTACATTTTATCATTTTAAAAACTTGTATATATTTTTGATAAACACGTATTTCATGTGACACGTGCAAAAAGAGCTCTTGTACGTACCGATGAAACAATATATATGGAGCAGTGTTGTATAATAATTAAATTTATAGATAATAAAAATTGAAGATTAATAATTTAAATATGATTCTATGATTAAGAAATAAATAAACGTTACAGTCCGTTACAAATAATTTGTTCCATGTTATTAAACCATTTGACTTCAAAATTTGATCAATTTTAGAATTTTGTAAATAAAACATGAAATAAATAAATAAATAATCAATCCTTTCAAAATATGTTGTACTTCCTTCAGCCTTAAAAATATTTATAGTATTTAGAGTACGAAATAATAATATATATCAGTTATATTATTTTATATTTATCTAAGGTGCTAATAAAATTGAATTACTCCTTAGTACTTATTATAGACTTCTTAAAGGAATAATGTTTATAAATGTTCAGTTTAAATTCTTTGTTATTATACATAAAAATTCAGAAATCTATCTGATTTTTATTTAGATAAAAACTACTTTTATTTATCTTATCTTTATCTAGATATTTTTTTTTCATTCGAGCAACAACACTGATAAGGAGCATATCCGATGATCATATGCGTCCATAATTTGACGTCGTTCTTTCCGCGGACGATACACAATTTTTACTGCGAACATTCTACGTTAATGTATCAAGCAACGAAATAAAATAATAATTGAAATGAGTTCTAACGGTCGCTATGGTTTTATCACTTATTTTGCGCACACAGGTTGTCGTATCTCTGTTGCACAACTCGGCTCAGCGTTATTGTTGCAACACACGTGCGCCAACGAATCGTTGACGAACATAAATACGTCGGAAAGCGATTACGATTGAATCGTCGCAACGTAGCGTACCGCAATTACAAGCGTATTACAATCTTCTGAGTAATCCGTCCTGATCGCGAAACATGTGTTCTCGGTTCGGGAAATCGATTGCATTCCTCGTTGGTGCACTGCGGTCGGATCATCGCCCCCGGACACGTTCTCACACCTTACTTCAAACTTCTTACACTTCGCAGACCTTGCCTAACTTTGCCTTGGGGCGCTCTGATGAGGGGCTGAATTGATCTCCTTAAATTTCAAAGAATAATTCTAATCGATCGCAGTGAATCGTGCACGTACCTGCGTACCGAACCGGTGACTGGTTGCACACGTTTAAACAATAACAAATAACGTGCGGACGATAACCGTTGACGTCGTATCATTAAGAATATTTCACTATCGCGTCACGTGAACGCGTAGCAAATGCCTTATCGGACCCGAGTGACCGACGGCTTACGCGTATGGTTTACTCGACAACAACCGGTAATTTCACGTTGTTTCCCCTCCTTTTGAGCTGATCGGCTCCGAATTTCGTAACGCGGTTTTTTCCCCTCTATCGAATAAAAATCACATTTTAAGCTGTTTTCGTTAGTCTAAGGTACACGTAGTCTTGGTCGAGTCAAATTTTTAGAATGGTGGCAACATTTTTTTTTTCAACTCGAATGAATATGTATACTAAGGAGAGTATATCTTTCATCTCACACACTTAGCTATGTCACTGTTTTTTTTCCTCCACGCGTAGAAATCTTATAGGACACGAAATAAAATCATTCGTGACGCGAAAATGTTTTCCACATTAATGTAGAAACTTATAAAATAACTAAACGCTGTGGAATTCGTTCTTTTTTTTCCACACCACTCCTAAAACGAATTATAAAATATGGAATTAAACGCGTCAAAGCGTAGGTTGTTATCTAAGCATTACTCCTTAAAATAAAATGTTTTGGTGGATTCTTCCGTCGGTGTTTAAATTTTGAAAACCTTCAAAACAAAAGTACCTTTTACATGACTATATCCATAAAAGTTTTGAAGAAAGGAAATTAATAGTTTGAACATAAAATAACAATAATAATTCATACAAACAAACATTTTATTATTTCTGTAAAAAATCAAAAAATATAAATACATATTTATGATAACGAAACGTATTATAAAAATATATAATGATTGTCGAGCACTATTATCACTGATGATTTTATTTGAAATTGTTCAGTTTGTTAAATTTGTAACATGTATATGTTGCAATACTATTTTTTTTTTTTTTTTGTAAAATGAATTGAAAAAAAAATAATAATAATTAAAATTTATAAATATATGTAAAACAACTGTTCTATAATTTTTCAGAAATAAAATAAATACAATGTAATTTATGAGGGAGTTTGTGTTACGTAAAAAAAAATAATAAATGTTCTTATACAAATTCAAAAGCATTTTAAGTATCGATATCGAAAAAGAAATGCATAATATGAAGGGCATGTATCATATCAGTATACAATATAATAATAGTAATAATAATTATAATGATATTAATAATAGTTATAATATCTGATCTGAAAGTGCATAAGATTACCTCCTATATAATAAAAAATGTATATATCGGTGGAATAGTAGTTGTAGATAACTTTTGTTAATACACAATTTCATGACGTTCATAGTAATAATAATATAATATTGTTACATCGATATAGTTATAATAGTAATGACAATAATATTAAAAATCGTATATAGAAGTATGTAGGTTTATTATATACTGCACTATATTTATGCTTACTGTACATATTTCTGTGATATTGATTATTTACACTAATACATCGAGCGGCAGCAGCTATTTGCACAACTAGAGGCCGTGATCTTATAATAGGAACACGCTTAAAGATTATTTACATTTAGTGATTAAAAAAATAAAATTAACAAACAAATAATAAGTAAATGATAATAGTACAGTTAGAGTGTTATTATGGTTTTAAGGCAAAACGCATTGCACGATGGAAGCAGCAGCAGGATATAAAATAATATTGCGCAACTATTTGATATTCGTAATATTATTCTATATACGTGTACTTACAAATATATATGTACGTAAAAAATAATGTATACGCTATATTAGCTACTAACAAAACAATTATATTCGCGGTTGAAGCTAGAACACAAATAAAATGTATGACTGAAACAAAATAAAAACATAATTATAATTAAAAAAAAAATATTACTCTAGGGAATAGTTAAATATGGCAACAAAAGTATAATAATAATTATGAATAAACTAGTGCTGAAATACTGAGTAAAAATCTTTTAGAAAAAAATTATTATTCTAAGATTATATATTAATAAAACGATGAGGGTGTACATGTGTTTTGTAGTATAAAATAATTATATTTGTATTTATACGATCATTGACGAATCAGCAGCCTGTCTCGTCCGCGTCAGAAGAACCTGTGGAGCCACTGTGATGGCGATGGGGGAGGTGGGATGGCTGTGGTTGTTGTGGTGGACTTCGGCAACCTAGACCCGAATTCCCAGAGTCGGACATCCTGTTTCTGTTGCGGCAGATAATGGTGGAGACGGCGATGCTGTTGTACCGGGTCATCCTGCTGCTGTTTCTGATGTTCTGGCCATCCCGTCGGCCACCACGTAGGGTGCCTGCTGCTTTCGTACATCTTGTTAGTGGTCCGGTACGGAGCTGGTCCCGGGAACCGGATCAGATTCGCGTTGTCCGCCACCGCGGCCGGATCGCTTTCTTCCGGAAACCGGATCTGAACGCCTCCGCCGACCACCGGACGTTGTTTGACCAACGCCGTCGCTACGTGGTTATGCTGCTGCTGCTGTTGCTGTTGCTGCTGAAGCTGCTGCTGCTGGTAGAACTGCTGCTGCTGCTGGTAAAGCTGCTGCTGTTGCTGATGCTGCTGAACCAGTAGCTGCTGCTGCTGAAGCTGCTGTTGTTGCTGTTGCTGGAGCTGTTGCTGCCGGAAGTCTGAGCACGCCGTGTAGTACAGGTAAGAGTTTGGGGCCGAACAATCCGGCACCGGCGCTGATGTCGGATCTTCCGGTTGGTCGTCGTAGTATTCCGGAGTAGCTGTGTCTGCAGCCAGCTGTTGCGTCCGTCCGCCGCCAGTCGTCGACTGCATCCGGTTGGTCGTAGACGGTGCCCGCGTCTGGGTACTTGGTCTACCGGCTGCGCCGAAACCGCCGTCCATGGCAGCGGCTACAGCTAACACTGTCACTACGTCCTCGTCTTCGGTTTCTGTCGTCGTCGACGTCGTCGTTGTACCAGTTGTCGGTTCTTCCGTATTCGCGTCATCTACCGCGGTAGTGGTAACAGCAGGCGGTGGCGACGATGACGGTAACGTGGCTCCGTCGATTCTGATGGTCTGCGATGTGTCGTCTGACTCGACGGTCGTCGTTCTACTGTTGTCGACGTACCTGCGGACATGATAAAAAAAAATAGTGTTTTCAATAGAAGTAACAGGCGTGTATACTTTACGCGATCGTAAGATTTAATGAGACACGTTTTAAAAAATGTATTGGTCAATATATAACGGCTTAACACTAGCTAGAGAATAATGCAATCATCGAGGCCTAATCCGCCGTGCTAGGCCTGCCTGCCGAATAGAGGATTGGAAGGATGTAATAAGTCAACTCGGTATTTGTTGACTAGTCATCGTTGCGATGATTAATGAACGTGTTAAGAGGTTAAGAGACATCGGTACGCGTTTATTATCGTACGATCATAATCGTATTTTTACGTCCGACGAGATGCCTTCCGTCGACCACTTACCCTCACAATATCTTCGGGGTCAATTATATCTATATATAAGAATATATAACTGCATCGTAACATCAACAATAAAAATGATTCGAACCGAAATACATTTTTCAACAGTTGGTTGTTCAGAATAGAGTATATGATTTTATTACAAACAAATACATTACTATTTTGGTAAATAAATGCTAATAATTTATCGATATATAAATTAAAGAATTCAGTAATGATTTTAAATTAATTATACTTGATAAGGAAATACTATACGTATTCCCCCATCATATTCTGCTGATTTAATTTTTAAACATACCGAATTGATTTTCATCGAGTGAACATAAATATTAAATTATAGTATATAATATATAAAACAATACATTACTTTAATTAACGAATAAAACTTATGATGGTATTTAACGTATGGGCCGCGTAAAATATGTATCCAAAAACTAGTTCTGACTAGATTAAGGATTTGCAAATCGTGATTATAGCGTACGTTTTTGTCGCGATGTGACACAATTCTAAGAAGAGTCTAAACAATACAGTTTTAATTTTTTTTCATCGTATTATAAAAATATTATGTAACACAGAACAACACTTGTATACAAAATGTAAATGATATGTCACTCGCCGTTAATATGACGGCTTTACCTATGTTAACACGAAAACGAGAGAAATGGAAATTAAACCTTTCTTTATATGCCAAAACCATTCAATTATTACGATGCGTGTATTTTTTTTAACCATATAATAAAACGGAATTTATTTCCCAACCATACAGTTTCATTTTCTTTTCTCGTCAAATCAATCTTACCAACGTTAATAATTATAAATAATGTTGTATTCAACTCGAAAAAACGAGAACCGTTAATTTACACGGAATTTGAACAAACGGCCGTAAGGAGAATTAAGCTCATAATTTAAGTTAATTTCAACAAATTAACTCACTTTCGTTTAGTAACCTATATGTACCTACATATAATCAGTTTTTTTTTACTCCACACCTTTTTGGATTGTTAGGTGTATATTTGTACGGTTTTTTTGTTAAAATATGCAAAAATATGCGGAACATGCATTAACGTCAAAACATGCTAAAATATGTAATATAAAATTTTGATATTTGTGGACACTCATTGACTGCATGTATATATATATAATGTTGAAAATAGAAACATGCATTTTATGCAAAATCCAGTCTTTGCTCAAAAGTCACCTTCAATATTTATCAAACATATTTCCAGCTTAAAATTAACCTTATCATTATCATAGGATCAAATGGGTTCATGCTATTTTCATCAAAATTCTTCAATAATTAAATTCATTAAAATTCATTAAATATTAAAACTCCAAACTGCAAATATCACAAGCAAATTTTGAATTATCTCTAAGCTATCTTTCTACACATTTTCACCGCGTTATACACATCGAATTGTAGCATTTATTCATTACCTTCATCATTCTACATCCTTTGAAGATATTATAACTTCCCAAACAGAACTGGGTTTCTCCTTCCTTTGTGTTGATAATATTTTAATATGATCAACAACTAGCCTATGTCACTCATTACTTGTGAGCTTGATAATATTGAATTCAAATGGAACATATTTAAATTGACAAAATTACTGCATTTTAAAATCATCATAGAAAGACTAAGCCTAAGAAAAGTTCGACTTTACCACAATACAAGTGGTGCCAGTTATACGGACACACGTTTATGTATTGTTTACACACGCCTCACTGAGTCTTATGTAGCTAGGATCACTTTACCACAGATTGCACTAAGCCACATAAACTACCGGCTAAGTAAGCTTTATGTTCCAGAGCTCACACTACCAATTTTATAAGCTGCCCATCGTACAAACAGTTCAAATTGTTCCACAACAAGATGCCATCATTCAACTCTAACAGAAATAAAATCCACAAAACATTTTCAAAGACTCTGTCGAACGAGGTCTAAGAATTTCATGTTCAATTTCGGGATAAATCCAACGCTGAAGCCGTTACTTCTGATAATTCTCCATTAAATATTGTTTCAAATATAATATCGCAATTTATTTGTAATTTCATTTATATAATATTTTAACTATAATGTAGTAATTGGTCCACTAATGTCTCTCATAACCGAAGTTTTACACAAACGTTTATTTCCATTATTAATATTTATATTATAGAAACCTATAAGTGATTATGTAATATTATCCGCCTAATTGTATTTTTTATTTAATTGTTCATCTGTTATAGTCTTGTACTGAAAGCTATATAAATAAAAATTAAAACAAAAGAAGAGCTGTTTATAATAAATAAATAATATATGCTACATATTACTTACAAAAGAAGTATCAATACAAATCTATTTATACTTGATTTGTCGAATACATTATGCATATAATTATTTTGAAATGCGTAGAAATCTTCCTCTAGGTAAATAATAAAAATACACCATTGGATATCACTAATATGCATTAGACAGAATAATTATAATGACCAGAATTATCAAAGCTAGATTAAGGGGGGGCCTAGCTGGGGTGGTAGCCCCGAGGCCTCCTCGAATACCCAAGTGAAAGGGGCCCGAACAATTTTAAGTCGATACACATTTTTTATCATACTAAAATTAGTAGTTTTATAGACGTACATTTTATATACCTATTAATTTTATAATTTTATAATGCAATTGACAATTTGTGAAAAAATGTATCGTTCTGCGAGCATAGCGAGCGGCTTTGTAAAGCATGTTTTGTCAAAAGGGCCCATTTAAAATTTCAGCCCCGGGGCCTAAATAGGTGCTTAATCCGGCCTTGAGTATTATAGTAACCAACTTGAAATTAATATCGAAAACATATAGAATAATTGAGAAGTTGTCGATTATTTGGATATAATCGATAAGTCAAGAGGGGATTTGAGGGAGATATTTCTGAAGCTGTCAATTCGATATTCACAAAATACGATAAAAAGACTAGTAACACTGTAGCAGTAATTCGAAACCGATAATATAATATTCATAGACGTATATTTGATTGAAAACGGTAAGATACTTACTTTGTCTTTGTGTCCGTCCCGGTTGTCGTCGAGTCGTATGAAGGAGTGACAGTGCCACTGACGTCTTGGACAAGCGGCGGCGGTGGCGTCTGATAGCGATTGCGGTATGGTCGCGGTTGCACGGTAACAGTGGTTTCCATTAGGACATCAGTCGTGATAGTCTGGTCGTCCGTGTCTTCAGCGATGGTGCCAGCGACGTCGCCGTCGTCACCCGTGATCGCAGTGACGGTAGCGTCCGTGGCTGTGATCGTAGCGATGGCCGTGTTCGTTGTCGTTGCGGTGGTACCAGCTACAGTGGTGCCGACCATTGAGGTGCTGGTAGTCAGCTCGTCGACGGTTTCCATCGTATGATTGTTCAAGTCCACGCCGCCACCGGACAGAGGTATGTTCAGTTGGAATGGTCCCGGGCTGTCGGTCTTCTGCTGCGGCGGCGGTTCGGTCGTCGTAGTGGACAACGGCGTAGGTTGGTAAGCCGAGACGGCAGCAGCAGCCGGCATCATCGGAAATCCAACGCCCATGCCACTTGCGCTGTACTGCGAGTTGAGCTGCTTCAACAAGAAGTCCCACTGGGCTGCCTGGTTGAGCTTGACCACCTTGACGCACCGGCCCATGCTGTCTGCCCGATAACCGTCGGAACACTTGTTAAACGCGGGTGCCACGAACACCGACTTGGGCGTGATCCGGCGACCGGCCCCGCCACCGCCGGTAGTACCGCCGCCGCCAGCCGCCAGCAGTTCGTCCCTAGACGGCGGCACCAACTGTTCCTCGATGATGACCCAGCTACGCACGAACTCGTCTTCACCCTTCTCCAAGTCTGCGGACGCCCAGCGGGACAGCAACAGCAGCAGCAGGGCGCTTAGACGCAACGATCCAGTCATGCCTCCTGACCTAACCAACCACCGCACGTCGTCCCTGCAATTCCTCCATATAACACGCGTACGCCTGAGGGTAAAAAAAATATAAATATCATTATTCGAACTCCGGTCGGACGTGACCAGATAATATATAGATTATCAATATGATAATAATATACGCGCTATAAAAGTCACTTTAAAACGACACTCTAAAAATGTACGGTGCGGAAACGCACAATACTTATTTGGTTTACAGATATCGTTTCGGTGCACAAAATGATTTTGTTTACATATTCTTAGAATTCTATTTCTACAAAACATTCGCCTAAAAAATAAAGCTTACTCTTTTAAATTAAAAAGAACAACAATGCGACTTTGAATATATTTCATCAAAAGTCAAAGGGCAAACCAATTTACCCACTTGATTACTATATCGATTCGAGACCTCTACAGTTGGACATTGGGTATTCATAAATAATAAAAATAATTACAATTATAATATTAACTAACCGCCGAACGCGATCTAGTCGTAATACAGTACAATTAGTAATAATAGTATTTGTTTACTTTCAGAATATGATTATTATTCATTTAAAAAAATTTACATGAATCTGATCGCCTAGGTTCAGTGTATAAATTACATAATAATCATACTCTGACAGTATTTTGTATGAATTACGCGGTTTGAGGTAGTTTGTATAGATATCATGCAAATGGGAGGGATGTAATTAAAAATAAGTATTTTAAAATCTGTTAGCTTTAGTTAAAAATTTCTTCGGCTTCTTAGGAATTAAATTAATTTTCCGCTATATTTACATACAAATTATTTGCCTCACGTCGGATATCGATGATTTTACGACAATGATTGTTTGCGCAGTCATTAACGCCGTCACAGACTGCATTATCTCTCAAAGTGGCATGAACGTGGAGGAAGCGCAGGTGAAAGTTATTGGGTGTGATTATACGGGTATGTACGTAGGTTGTTCAAAAAGTTATGAAAATAATAATGCTGAGAGAAATTTTGTTGCAAAAGTTGGTCATACTGCATACTATCTTGTATTCCGTTTTCTAATCAATCTACTAGTGATGGGCGGTAATAAATAATTTGTACTATCGATTATTATTCGATTATTTATATATACTATCAAATAATTATTCGTATAATATTATGCATGACTAAATAATTAAAACTATCGAATAATTATTTAACTAATCTATACTATTGAATAATTATTCGACTAAACTATACTATTGAATAATCAAAACCATGGAATAATCGATACCATTGAATAACTCGAATAATCTGTAGTCTGTACTCTATACCAGTGGTGGTCAAACTTTTTTTTCCTCGGGCCATAAAAAACAACTTTTTTTTTATCGCGGGCCAAAAAAAAATGCATTCTAAATTTTTTTTTACGTAAATGCAAAATATTACAGTTATACAAATAAGTGCTGTAATATAGAAGACTTTCGGGGGCCAGATATTAAATGATAGCGGGCCGGAGTTGGCCCGCGGGCCGTAGTTTGGCCACCACTGCTCTATACTGTCAATAATGATTCATATATGCTTGCCGGCGGTCGTACTTCATCCATACGCTAAGTGTATATTTCTAATTTATTAACCAGTTTTCTCTTGTTTATATTAATATATTGGGCTAAAAATATAAATCATACGTTTTCTCCAAAAATAATCGTACGATTATTCGAATAAATAACTTGACAAGACCATCGAATAATTCGATAGTTATTATTCAATAACGCCCATCACTACTATTCTACATGCCAAGTTTCAAGTCGATTGGTGCAGTGAGTGGACGTATGTGCCAATTTGTATAAAGTGTTTTAGATATTCACCTACCATTTCCAGTAGGTATGGATAATAAGTTAGAGCAACGTTGTAACGTGAAATTATTAGAGAAATTTGGAAAGAACCGAAAAACCGCATATGATTTATTAACTACAGTATCGTGAAGATGTTATGAACTAGGTAGACTTCTACAAATAGCAAAATGTATTCGAGGAGGGTAGAGAGAGTCATCGCCAACGAACCACGTAAACGGCATAATTCATCGTCTCGCACCGAGGATTTAAAGATTATAGCTGCCACTATCATTCGTGAGAAACGACGAATTACAGTTAGGGGCTCTTGGTATGCCTGGACATATCAGCATCACATTTTCGATTTTTAGCGATGATTTAGTCATAAGACGCGTGTCTTGCAGGTGGGTGCCACTCTTATCCACACCAGAACAAGTGCAATATGATGTGTCACGTCAATGTGTGTCAAGGTCTAGATTTTTTTAAACGCTCATGGGTCGGAAATTCAACAACTATCAAGAAGTCATCAAAGGTGTGAAGGCGCAGTGCAGAAAGCTCGAGAAAGAAGGTTTGGTGTTTGTATTTAAAAACTTGCACGAACGATGGAAAATGTATATTATAACTGAGGGGGGCGGGGTAATTTTGAAAAAGAGCAAATATCATGAATGATCAAATAAATATTTTTTTTTTGTATAACGTTTTTATCATTAATTTTTGAACAGCTTGAAGATTATATTATGTTATTGATGCTACTGAAAACTATTTGGAGATATATTTTTTTGTTCTTGTTACAGATATTCTAATTGAAATATAATGTTTCACGATATTTTAAGCCCATAGAATAACAAAAAAAATAAAATGGTAAAATAAATTGAATGTAAATCGCGCGATAAACGCGATAAGCAATTTGAGGGATAAAATTCTCAGTATAGATACTTATGTATACACAAGTTTTCATACTCTTGTTTCGTTTTTCTTTCATTGATATTGTGCGACGGTTATATTTTTAGACAAATATACATATGTATTTCACTACGAAGTGAAGGTTTGAAATGCATTGATAAAGATAACGGCGTAATACTACTATATTTATGTAATATTATTACACAGGTAAATTCGACGTGTGCGCATTCCATTAGGAGGAGGGAAAACATAACATCGTTTTTCACTTTCGATTACACGCGCGTTTGGCTATACTCTATCGTAATCATGTTCGATAGTTTTTTATCCTTGTAGGTGCAGACATGCTATGCATGTATCTCCGACATACGCGTATATTGTCACTTCGAAGGAAAGAGCAAAAGAAAAAAAAAATCACCTGCACTTTTGATGGATATAATGGCAGGCGGAAAGAGTACGAGTGGCGCGGTGGCAGTAGTACAGTTCGAACGGCCACCGGGTATAATTAAGTTTAAGATATTGGTACATTTTTTAGGGCACGCACTTCATCTTATCTATCGTGCTCGCAGACGATATAATACAATATATACCGTATAGTAAAGCTACTCAACACGGTCTTTGAAATACAATTTTAGTAATAAGGAGAATATTCCACGGCGACGAAAAAGGTTTGCATGTGACCAGGGGCGTATTTAGGGGAGGAGGGTGATATGAGTGTTAGAACACCTCCCCATCGACCATACTCTATGGTATTTCATCAAATTACAAACTTACAGCATAATTTGAATAAACATTGTATACAACTTGTCAATTTTACATACACTGTCTTAATATAATCATTTTCATTAGTATAATAAATTATATAATTACATGGTATTTGTTTATGTAATATAGGAGGGGGCAGAGTCTCTCACCTACAATAAGTCTATTAAATTTTAAAATACCCCCGTTAAACGAATCCTGGATACGCCACTACATGCGACACACGTAGGTACCACAACACTTTATGAGTACCATATAAACACGCACATTTTGTAATATAATATAAATAAATTATATCCTAGCAAATAGTACAGTCAGTCAAGCATTTTACCAAATGTTTACATTAGTTCTATATTAGAAAATGGTCGAAGAATTAAATTATCATGTAATTTCACCATCTGTCTAGGTATATACTTGGTTAAATGTCTATTACGAGCTGAGGGAAAAAAATAATAACTAAAAATTTTTATAATATTTGAAATTACATTTTGTTATTAATTACTTTTTGTTGTTCTGATTTAACTACAAATATTCGTATGATAAAAAACTCAGGGTCCAATAATATAAAATAAAAAACTATTGATAGTTATCATTGAAAAGTAAAATTTGTTACAGAGGTAATTTTATATTAATTTATCACAGGACGAATGATAGCTTTATTGATGTTAAATAACAATAAATAATTAATAAGAAAATATAATAGTTTTAAATATCATAATAATGTTCCATTTCTATTATTTGCTTATATCTTAATACGCATTTAGTCAAATGTCTATATAAATAGATTGTAAAATTGCATTAAAATTAAACTATTTGACTATTTGTCAATTCAGTAAAATTTTTAATTTGACCATATGCCTACGACATATATTTTAATTATAATGGACGTTATGTAAATCCGAGATCATTTTACGTCGAATGGTACTAGATAATTACTAGGTTATTAATTATAAACAAATAAACATGAGGTTTTATTAGTGAATAATTCCTCCACAAACTATTTATGTTCTGTAAAAATGTATAAATTTACTTACTAATTGTTTTAAAGAATAGATTGTAAATAACTTTTAATATCATAAAAAAAAAATTTAAAAAAAACCATATACTTATATAAGTATATCACTGTATAATTAATATTTAATATTAGTTTTATTTGTAAAACACTGTTTAATACCTAGTAACATCAATTAAATTTCAAAGCTAATTTGTTAACTGTTTTGTTGTGTATGATTATTTTTAATAAAATGTTGAACTTTTCAATAAACTTTTTGGAGAAATATCAAAGGGAACACTTTATAAACGCTAAGAGTCCCTTTGCGTCCTCTCCCACTTTAAGACCTAGTCAAGGGACGGAGCACGGTCTCACCATCCCGTTGTGCAAATTCACAGCGATAATTTTTAACCTTTTATAAATATACTATAGTTACTAAAGTTATACTAAAGTTACCATGATCCCGACACAAGATCTCGGCAGAAGCAAATCGATATCGCGCTTTTGTCATTTCTCTTTCACTCTTGTAAAATACAAGATGTATTATGTGCAACAAACTCTAATAATCGCATTTTGGCTAGACCATCAGCACGACAAAATTGCATACGCTTCATTTC